GGAAGTCCAGAGAGTCTATGATTCAGCTCTTCTAAGGATTTCCAGTGACACAAGAAGCACTCCTTGAGAAGGGGGAAAGGACTTTCTTAACTATGTCATTATGATCACAACTTTCAAGAATAAAGACATTGACATCAGGTATAAGCCCTATAGTTGTTTCCAGTCTTGAAGATGGCTGGCTGGTGTGGAGGTAAGCTTCGGCATATTCCAGTGTCAGCGTCCTTGGCTGGCACAACTGCCGAAATCATCTGTTGCTCCTGCTGCTCATGGTGCCACATTTTCTTTAATGTTTAGTAATAGTATAATCCATGTTGTTTGAAACCCAAAATAGAATGATTTTCAATGTAGTTTTTCTTTATTATCGTCCTTGTGTGTTCATAGGTTTTACCTCTATTAAATGGTAAGAACAATTAATGCAGTTTTGCACAAATATTTTTACATTCTGATCTTTCAGTTCTGTCATTGTAATCTTTGCTGTTAGAAAAAATGATAAGAGAGGAGTTCTGTAAACTTTTGTAATGCTATGAATTCTGTTTAAATTGTGAACTGTTTATTTTCTGCTGAGACCATTGCGAATTCAAGCTTTGGCGGGGGGAGGGCGATATATTCATGGGTCTTTTAATTTGTACAGAACACAAAACTTATTTCTCTCTATAAATTATTTAATACATTGAACAAATGTTCAAAGATAAGGTGTTCGCTAATACAATAATCTTAATGTTAAAAAATAGTCATTAAAAGATCTATTGTGATATTTGGTGAGTATTTTCTTTAATATCAGATATTAAATCTGAAATGAATTGGTCTCCTGTTTTATCTTACCATTATTTTTAAATCTAGTACATTGTTTTTTCAACATTGTGCCTGCCAGTATGCCTACAAAATAATCTGTAAGCGTCCAAATGAACCCAAATTGTTGGTCATGCCTTTATTTCTCTTTTCTTGAGAAAAAAATAAAAAAGAGGTGTTATTTTAACAATTAGGCTTAGCATATTGTGTTGTAGATAATCTTTCAGTGAACTATCTTGAATGTTAAATTAGGTGCCACTTAAATTTATTTTATTATTCCATCAATAGCTGATTAAAACGAACCAGATATTTCTAGTATCCTTGTATTGTGTTTTTGTTCTGCCAAGAGAAGTAGTGGTAATACTAGTGTATATAAGGAGCTTTATCCCTGTGGTGTGGGGAGATAAGGTGGGGAGAGAGCAAGAACAGAATCTTTGAAAACATCTAACTACATTTTATCTTCACTAGATATATTTTTTATTAATACTTAGTTCAAGAAAAACGTTAAAATAAGAACAGCCTTGTTGGATTCAATAAATAAAAAGGACAGTAGAGATGATCTTACAAAGCTCACTGCTGATTAGTAATGATCTTTATATAGAATAATAATTTATACTTGGTCCATAATAAATAATGTTTACTTATTCTAATGGAAATTTAATTGGTTTTTATTTCTTGCTTTTCCATCTTCCTTCATGGACTTTAAAATATATTTCATTGATTTTTTTACAGAGAGGGAGAGGGATAGAGAGTTAGAAACATCGATAAGAGAGAAACATCTATCAGCTGCCTCCTGCACACTCCCCACTGGGGATGTGCCTGCAACCAAGGTACTTGCCCTTGACTGGAATCGAACCTGGGACCCTTCAGTCCGCAGGCCGACGCTCCATCCACTGAGCCGAACCGGTTAGGGCCCTACATGGACTTTAAATTAGATTAGCTGCCCAGAGATGTAAGCTCCATTAGAAGTAAGCATGTTTTTTGTTTGTTTAAATATATTTTTATTGATTTCAGAGATGACAGGAGAAGGAGAGATAGAAATAACAAATATGAGGGCGAATCATTGATCGGCTGCCTCCTGCATGGGATGGAGCCCGCAACCCGGGCATGTGCCCTGGCTAGGAGTCGAACTGTGACCACCTGGTTCACAGTACAACACTCAGCCACTGAGCTACACCGGCCGGGCAGAAGCAAGCATGTTAAAGTCCACATTCTTATCTGGCTGTAAGCATTGTCGTTATTGAAACATTTTCAGCAATGGTCCAGAAGCCGATAGAAGTAACCCGTTCTTTTACCCAAAAAGTGTAACTCATTTTTTTTTCAACTCCAGTGACCCTTGTTGGCTCTTTACAACTAAGATTGAGACGGTGCAAAGCTATATGAGACTTTGCTCTTGGGGAAGCTTTTTGACTGGCAGGCTTCACTTGCGGGTATTGAGTTGGGAACCAACTAGTACAGCGATGGCGAACCTTTTGAGCTTGGTGTGCCAGCATTTTGAAAAACCCTATCTTAACTCTGGTGCCATGTCACATATAGAAATTTCTTGATCTTTGCAACCATAGAAAAACAAAGACTTACATTTTGGTATTTATTTTTATATATTTAAATGCCTGTTAACAAAGAAAAATCAACCAAAAAAATGAGTTCGAGTGTCATAGGTTCGCCATCACTGAACTAGTATGATGGGGGTCCCAGGGGCCAGAAGGTAGGACTCTTTTCTTTGGGATTATTTAATTGCTTAGAGAAGAACCTAGCTTTTGGCCTGGGGACTTGATGCACCTCTGACACGCGTGTCATAAGTTCGTCATCACTGAACTAGTGTGATGGGGGTCTCAGGGGCCAGAGGGTAGGACTGTTTTCTTTGGGATTATTTAACTGCTTAGAGAAGAACCTCTAGCTTTTGGCCTGGGGACTTGCTGTCTCGTTGTCAGCTTTCTTTCAAGGATAGGAGTGGTAACTCTTATTTTAAATACTAGAGGTTCGATGCACAAAATTGGTGCAGGCGCAGGCCTTTCTTCCCCTGCTGCTGGCACCGCTTCTCTCTGGCACCTGGGACCCGGGCGTCCCTCTTGCCACCAGCAGGCACCCGGGACCCGGGCTTCCCTGGTTCGTCCGGAAGGTCATCTGTAAGGACATCTGGTCTAACTAGCATATTATGCTTTTATTATTATAGATATATGTATTGATTTTGGAGAGGAAGGGAGAGGGAGAGAAAGATAGAAACATCAATGATGAGAATCATTGGCTTCCTGCACGCCCCCTACTGGAGATCGAGCCTGCAACCGGGGCGTGTGCCCTTGGTGGAAATGGGACCCGGGGTCCTCAGTCCTCAGGCTGACACCCGATCCACTGGGCCAAACCAGCTAGGACAGGATTGGTAACTCTGTACACAGACTTGCAGTAAGTTCTCCTTCCTCCTCCACCCCGCCTCCCAGTCTCACATATCACTACAGTCTTGTGCCATAACTGAGTCACTGCATCCTGAGCACCTCTAGGGTCTCCTTCCTTGGCCACCTCCCAGTTCTTTTTGCTCTCTCTCAGTGATGCAGTTACTGAGCGGATGCGATTGTA